CCAGGGCAAGGAGTGGTTGAGTCTGGTCCTGCTTCAGCCCTGCTTACAGAAGTATTCGTGTGGCTGGGTCACTTTGCTCTGTGTTTGCTCTCCTCCTAGTTTGGTTGCTGTGGGGTCAATGGGCCTGAAGACTTCAAGTTTGCATCAGTTTTTCGGTTCCTGACTTTGGACAGTGATGAGGTGCCAGAGGCCTGCTGCCGAAGAGAACCCCAGACTCGGGATGGGGTCTTGCTGAGCAGGGAGGAGTGTCTCTTGGGACGGAGCCTGTTCCTAAACAAGCAGGTACGGGGCCCTGCTCCCCTGGCAGGGAGCTGGTTCATACAGACTTGGGTGGTCAGGGCTGGGTGGGAGGTGATGTCAGCCCAGAGGGTCTGAAGGTACTCCAGGAATCCCGTGGATATGGGACTTCTGCTGCTGAACGGGGGCTGCTGAGATCCATCCAAGGGGAGAGAGGATGAGAGTGGCAGAGGGTCCAGGGCTGGAGTGGGCATTTGGGCTGGAATTAAGGGCTGAGTAGGAGTTTTCCAGTGTTTCCTGAGCTTCTGATATTGCAGATCAGGGGTTGCTGGGTCAAAACCAGAATTACACAGAGGGGGCCCTGCTCAGCCATGCACGGCATGGAGGAAGCTCACATTTGTCATTGGGGGTACTCGCTGGTCCCAAGGGTGCAAGGTCACCCTGACCTTACCCTCCAAGGTCAGGGAAACTCCTAGACTTCTCTGCTTCTCTTGCAACCCAAGGACTTCATCTCAGCCTTGGAAGAAACACTTCCCTTCCTGCATGTGCCACCTCTCAGGGAAACATGGGCCCTGGCTTTGTCCCCACTCTGTGAGATGCACAGTGCCCTTGTACTTGATCTCCCTCTGTCCCTCCATACCCCCACCCCTCGAGGGTGTGTGAGAGACCCAGCCAGGTGGGAGGGGAGAGAGGGAGAGGGCCAGGGTAGACTGAGCCCGTACCCCAGGCCCCTCACTTGATTAGGCCTTTAATGAGGATCACATGGGGGAGTTCCAGATACAAGACACATGGCAGGGGAGGGAGACAAGCCCCTGCTCCTGTGGGGCTCCGATCCAGTTAGAGATGCAGATGATGAACAGCAGCAAACAAAAGGTAATAATTTCTCATAGTACAGATTGCTGTGAAGAAAATAGAACCAGATGATGGGCTGGAGTGGGGCTGGCATGGGGTGGGGGGTGCAAGGAAGGCCTGTTAGAGTCCCAGGGGAAGTGACAGGGAGCTGAGGCCTGACCCTCCGTGATATGATGAGGCCCCTTCCAGCCTCAGCATTGCTCCACGAACTTGGCATATCAAAGGATTTACAAGGCCCCAGGGGCCCCGTCCCCTCTGCCCCTGTGGTTCTGCTGTCTTCCTGCATAAAGAAACGAGGGCCCTGGGATCAGGCCGCTGAGGGCTTGGGGCAGGGAGGGCCACCCAAGGGCTAGGTCCACAGAGATCTGCCATGAGGAGCAGCCACAGGAAAAGAGGGGAGTTTCAGGGTTTGATGTCAGGCAGGCTTGGTCTGTCACCTGCTGTGTCTCCTTCGCCAAGATACCCCCTCTGGAAGCTTACTTACAATTGTGTATAAAATTTGAAATTTCAGTTTCCCAGTATCGGCACCATGGTTTTGGGGTGTGTGTGTGTGTGTGTGTGTGTGTGTGTGTGTGTGGTGTTAGGACGTGCTGTGGACCAGCAGAGACGAAGAATTCCAGGGTACCTTATACCCTCAGAATCAGAATCTGCATTTCAACAAGACCCCCAGTGACTCATGTATGTGTTGACGTTTGAGAAGCTCTGCTCTGAGCAACTTCCAGATCCTTGAAAGGGAAGTTTTAAAGTCACAGAGGAAAGATCTGCAACCTAGTGAGTTGCTCCATAATGGACTGTTTCAACAATGGATTTTTTCTTTCTTCGGAAGAGAAAATATTGATGGGTCCTGCTACACCATTTAGTAACTGTGCAACTTTGGGGAAATTGCTCGATTTCCATGAGACTCAGTTTTTTCATACATAAAACAAGTACAGTAATGGCACCTTTATTGCTGGGTTGTTGAGAATTAAATAAAATAAGCCAGGGGATATGGCTAAGCAAAGTGCCTGGCAAAGAGTAAGTGCTCAGTAAATGTTAACTACTAAAAAAAAAAAAAGAAAAATACACCCCCTCTGGATCTCAGATTCCTGCTACAGTGGCAGAGACTGCTGGCTGTCCCCCACACTCTCTTGGCCAAGCCAGGTAGAGGCTGCACTTCCCTGCTTTTCTGGCAGCCAGGCCATGTAACCAACTTCTAGCTAAAGAGAGGTGAACAGAGGTGAGCTGTGCCATTGAGTCCCTCTGGCTGGAATGCAGTGGGGTGTGGAGACCAGCCATCAGGGGCTTTGCAGAGGAGCGTGGTTCCCTAGGATGGCAGGGCATCGGAGAGAAGTCACCTGGGCCACTGGCAGCTCCGTGGAGCAGAGCAGTCACCAAAGTTCAGGATTTGATGTGAAAGACACCTAAATTTCTAACTTGTTGAAGGTGCTGCTGTTTGGGATTCCTATTGCCCAGAGCCAAGCTTCTATCCCTCTAGTGCCACTTGTCAGTTTCCAGGAAGGCTTTTCATGGGCCATGTTCCTTTGGGGGTTCGTCAGACAGGCTTCCTGTTTCTGGATTCATCTGCCATTAGGATGCCTCCTTCCATCTTTGGCCATGGCTTTAAAATGGGAGCTCAGGAGAGAGGGCCCTGCAGGGCCACATTCGCTCTTTATGATACTCTATTCCTCATGAGGAACGCAGAGATTGACGTCAGGGTGCATTTCTGACTTTGCTGGCAGGCCCGTGGTGAGGACACCTGAAGAGCCGAGTCCCACATGGGGTGGAATAGAGGAGATGTGGCCATGTTGGCATGGCAGCTGTGCTGTGGCCAGGGATTAGAGGTGGGCCTGTCCAGGAGGGATTTTACACTGGCCTCAATGAGAGCGGACAGTGGGTTAGACCAGGGTGATTGTGAGGGAGACACAGAGAGGTATATGGATCTGAGAAATTTTTGGGAGAGGTAAAATCCACGAGCCTTGATGATAGGTCAGCTTTGGAGGGAGGAGGGGGGAGGGGTGTTGGGAATGACACTCTAGTTTCTGGTTTGGAGATCTGGAATGATCTGGAATGTGGTTTGGAGCACGTTGAGTGTGAGGTGCCTTTGGAACCTCTAAGCAGAGGTGCCCAGTGTACATTTCGGCATAT